GGCAGCGGTAACAGCCACCTTTGAACGAATTGAAAAGGAGCCTGCCAAAGTAGGTCTGGCAATAAATGGCGAGAAAACCAAGTTGGTGGTATCAACGCGCAAGACGCGTCAAGTAGACTCGAACCAACTGTGGAAATTGAAAACTACAGTTTCGAGGTAGTGAACGATTTTATATACCTCGGCACCGCCATAAATAAAACTTATGACATCAGTTTTGAAATTCGGAGATAGGATAGCAACTCAAAAGCAAGGCCACCTCTCGACAGACAGAACAAGCATTCTACAATACGCTGATATTACCCGTGCACGTTATGGATCTGAAATATGGGTACTTGTGCAAGCAGATGAGGCAACTCTTGGAATGTTTGAAAGAAAAATTATCCGGAAGGACTATGGACCGATCTGCGTCGACGGTAAATATCGTCGTCAAACGAACAATGAGCTATACCATAGCTGCAGCGTCTACGTTGGCTAGGTCATGTTGCGAGAATGGATGAGGTTTCCCCCACTCAAAAGCGAGCCAGGTGATGGTTCATGTAGAAGGGGAAGGACGCGAATCTAATAAAAAGATCAAATAGAAGACAACATCTCGGAACATGGTCATTCAAAGATTGACGAACCTGGAAGTCTTTTTTAAGTTCGGCTTATGGAACAACCGTTCTGCCACAAGCCAGCTAAGTAAGATTTCAAAAAGAAGGCAACTACCTACAGCTATTTTCTGCAAGTATGGTGACATTGTGGGTTTGTGCAAGGACTATAAATAAGGTCTGCCTCTTCAGTTTGCTGTCAAAGTCCATTATTGTAAACTACTGCCATTATAAAAAACGTAAGCAAAAGCCATATTTTTGACATTAGATTTGAGAGAAATCAGCGGATTTTCGCTAGCTGGTGACCTTATTATTAACATTTTCACAGTGTACCACTAAATAAACTGCAGCAAATTCATTTTTGCAGGTGTTTGTAATTTTTCGAAGACAGCAAAAAACAACAAAATTTAAAATTAATAATTATTTTGACAGATTGTCATAATGAATATTTATATGAAATGGTATTGAAGTTTATATTTGAATCATAATCATAAAAAAATTCAGATTCATTCGTTTTTTTTTTTTTTCTTTATTTTTCACACAAACCCACATTGCCAGCACACTTGCAGAAAAAAGCTGTAGGTGGTGGCTTGAAGGGGAGCAAAATAAACGTGACTCGTGGGTGAATTTATTGAGATCAAAAATTGTTGGCTTTGTTTTTTTGTTCTTCATTGATGTTACCAGTTGATGACAATCTTACATTCATAAATACAGACAAGTGTCTGTACGCGTCTATTGAATGGAGTAATAGGCTAAAAATCCCAAAGCCACATTTATTCGATTGATCTCATTTCAATTCTGCCATCAAAGCAAACAAATCGAAACAAGTGAAAGGCATTTGGATTTGTTTCGGATTTTTTTTAATTGCTTTTAAATTGAAGCCTCAACTGTGAGTATGAAGATGAGGCAATTGATAGATAGATAGTTATTGGTTTTTTGTTGCTGAATTTTCAAATTGATTTTATTTATTAATTGTTAAAGTTTCGAATTAAATGATACTTAAATTTCAATTGGAAAAAACATTTAATAGGTTACTTATTTCAAGGGCATTGAACATCGAACGGGCTTAGTGTGACAAAATTCAAACAATTGGAAGAAAGAGATTGTCAAAAAATTGGTCCATCATTTGACATAACCTTGAAATATACAGATGAGGTAGTTATTTTGATTTACTGTTTCTCTTATCGGAATAAATGTATCGTGCTTTGGTGAAACTCTCATGTGGGATTCACTGATTCATTCCAACAAAGACAAAACACAGCCGATTGTACTTAGAAGCAAAGAAGCATTGTTGATCCGTGCGTATGGGAGCCATCAGCGTTAGGATCAGAAGAAGGAACAATATTCTGAAATCCTATCTAACAACATTTGGGTTGTATGTCGATTTGCGGCGCCCAAGTGTTGTGCTCTCTCAATTGCGAATCTAAGATATTAGTCAGAGGATAGACATCCTGCAAGAACATATCTTCATGACCTAGAAAAGTTCAATATTGTCAAAAGGATACATAGGCACCCAATTAAGGAAGTTTGAACATTTGGGAAATCAATCCTCCACCATTTAAACCAGCAGAAAAACATCACTTGCATCGACCAACTAGATAGATTTTGGCACAACTGAGATCATGCTAGTGTTATAATTAGACAGGATAGAGCGTCTCAACTTATATTTTCCTTGTTCAATCAATGATCTAAATTAAGAACCAAATTTGTAGTAAAAATACAGCAGTGCTAGCTTGTACAACTACAATTAGGGAGGGTTCCGGAGGCAAATACCGTATACCAGTAATCCCTTCGTCGAGAAGGCGAAAATGCGCTCCCAATTAGCTCATTTACAACTACAGTTGGGGAGTGTTTCTTAGCTAATTACCGATTATTAGTGATCCCTTTGCCAAGGAGGCTAAAATTAGGCCCACTTAGCTCTTTTACATCTACAGTTGGGGAAGGTTTCAGAGTCAATTGCCGAATAACAGATCTCTTTGTTAAGGAGGCTAAGATTGACGCCCAATTAGCTTTTTTTACAACTACAGTTAGAGTGGGTTTGGATGAGGCTTGATGGCGCCCAATTAGTTCTTTTAAAACTACAGTAAGGGATTGTTTCGGAGCAAATGAGGTTTGGATGAGGCTGGATGGCGCCCAATAGTTTTTTTAAAACTACAGTAAGGGATTGTTTCGGAGCAAATTACCAACTACAAGTGATCTCTTTGTCAAGGAGGCTGAAATTGGCGCCCAATACGGCATTTTACTTCTACAGTTAGGAAGGGGTTCAGAACCAATTAGGTCTTTCACAAATACATTTAGGTGGGTTTCGAAGCATATTACCGAGTAGTAGTAATGCCTATGTTGATAAGTCTAAAATTGGCACCCAACTAGCTCTTTAACAACTACAATCATCGAATCAAATTGCCGACTACTAGTGATCTCTTTGTCAAGCAGGCTGAAATCCGGGCCCAATTTAGAACTGCAAGAGTCTATTACTTTTCAATACGATAACGAAATCTAGCAGATTCTTGCGACTGATGTTGACGACCTGTACTAATATGAAAACTGTCTTAGTCTGATACCGTACTGCAATATGGTCTGTTCCCGTACTACAAGAATCGACTATTTTTTACTACGATAACACTTTTTTCCTTTATGAAATCGAAGAAAATAGTAAAATCTAGTAGATTCTTGCAGTCCGGGAACAGACCAATAATCTACTAATTTTTACTATTTTCTTCGATATCATAAAGGAAAAAAATATTACCGTTTACATTCTTCTGAAATATATACTCTAAATTCTCTTGACCGTTAAGTGACAGGTTTGCAAGGCTGAGTGAATCGTGGATGAGGCACAACTATTGGAAGGAAAGGTGCGGGTGAAAATTCCGCAGCATCTTACCCTTGAGATTTGGAAGACATAGAAATAAGTCTCTAGGCAACTAAATATAAATAAAACGAGATTCAGAGCAACAGGGAGATATCAAACCTCACACTTGAGGTAATGCATGCTGTCGTAGCATTTTAAGAATCACACTGTTCACTACCTTGTCTCTTGTCTTTAGTCTGAGAACATTAACATTATAATTGATCCTCTTAATGGTCAGTCATGTACACAGAAGATTCCAAGATGGAGCAATACTAAAATTCATGACCCTGTTAAACTTCTGTGCTACATCGTCGGATTTCTTAAAGTCACCTGACCGAACAACCCAACCTTTTGGAGATAAAGATGATTGATCGTGTAATCGTCCATGTCCGTCGTTTAGCATTCTACAAGACGTATTAAAAATCTGATAGTTAATCGGTAAAACACAGAGAATATAAACTGATAACCTATTAATAAGGTTATCTAGGCGACCAGTAAAATGTAAATCAGATGCTACTCAAATTTGCTGTCAAAATATATTATTGTGAATAGTCTTCACATATGAAGTCGCAAACTTGAGAGGCAGCTGATATCCAGCTGGTTTCCCTGAATGTTCTTATTGATAGGCCTTGGCATGGCTGTTGGTCAATAATCGATAGAACCCAGGGAATACAAACTGATAACTATGACTTATTATTAAGGTCACACAGGGGAGAATCTGCGAATCAGATACTACTCAAGTTTGCTGTCAAAATACATTATTGTGAATAGACTTTACATATGAAATCGTAAATGTAAACGTCCAATTTTTAAATTTAACTTTGGAAATTACATTTTTTTGGGATTTTGATAGCTATGTTTGTTTGTTTTCGATTTGCATGTTCCGTACTGCTGAAATCTTCTGACTTTTAATATTTTTCCGATTTCCTAAAGAAAAATTGTTATCGTAGTAAACAATTTTACAATCTTGTAGGTTCTGGAACAGACCAATTAATAGACCTGGCTCTTTACTGTCATTATTGCAATACCGGATATTTTATAAGCACTATCCGTGAATATTATTTAGAGGCTGCCGTCTAAAATACGCCTCTAGCGAAAATCCCTAATTATATTACGTACAATCAGGGGAATTGATAGTTTAAAATACGTAGAATAGCTTTCATGTAAACATAGAAAACAAGTACGATTATAGAATATTCTATTAGGTTCTGGAACAGAGCATTAATCTATTTATAATTACCTAGTTGACCTATTTTTAATATAAATTTCGCCACTAATATAAACACCCCTACCAAATTAACATTTTATTAATTAGCTTCACAAGTTGCCTTGCTGTTTAACACCACCATACATATGATAGTTGTCAATAATTTCGATAAACGCACCAAAACAACAGTATCGATTGTTATCGAAAAATGTAAACATACCATATCGTGAATTGATCACCACTAGTTGTCAAATACATACACAGGAAGAAGGCCGAAAATTTTATAAACAAACCGAGAATTTTTTTTCATAGACAGAAAAACTATGTTTTGATAAATTAGAAAATCGAATATTTTGATACGAAAATAAACAACGAACCAAAAATGTCTGGAAGTCAACGTTCATTTGCCCAAAAATTGTCTAGGTACAGAACATTGCCATAAATAGCAAATCCAGTCATGAGAAAAAAAAAGGGCGAGGCCCTCGACGAGACAAGGAAATAAAATTAATCAATTACTTTTCTCCATTTATAGGACCCATGCATCGGATGTGCGTAAAAATGTGGTCAATTGTCATATGCAAACGAAGACGACGGATTCCATAATGTGTTCCTCAACGGTAAGTGGTTTTTGGGAGTGGGTGTTTTTTTCTTTTCCACTCATGGATATTAAGGTGTGTCCCCATTTTTTCTTCATTTGTATAGCTTTCGTTGACGGAACCCGTGGAACCATTGGATTATGAAGAATTTCTAAATTCTCACATGAATACGATTAATCGTGATCCGCTGAAGAATATTTTGGATTTTCCACCCGGTGATGTTATGGTGAAGACTATACCACGTAAAATACGAACCATTGATCATGTAGTGCCAAAGGAGAATATGTAAGTGCAGACAGTAGTAATACGAGAGTATCTTTTCCATAAACCCCACTCTCTTCTTTTTGCAGTTCTGAATTACCCCAACACATTCAGGAATGTGTCAACTGTTATACACGACCATGGAAAGTTGTGGAATATGCCCAACGCCACTATTCCAGTTCTTGTTGTGCCCGAGAACGTATAGATCGTGGCACAATAAGTCCTTCTGCTTACCAGCAGGAATTCGAAATTGATAAAGAATTTGCTTCTTTCGATGAATCCTCCTTGACGGATCAAAGTACCAGTTGTACTCCCAGTTCTAGACAATCTATTGCCAGTCTGTCGTCAGTAAGTTCTTGTACAGATACTTTAACACCACGCGGCTCGTGGGCCAGCTTTGATTTACGCAGATCCGTCAATGATCCTTTAATACCAAATTTACTTGATGATGTTCCTCCTGAACATGTCGATCAAACGAATGAAATGAAGCGACTGGTTGATCGCCAGGAAGCCTTGTTTTCCCTTTACCCCGAAGCAGATCCCGAAGATGTCATAGAACGTAGATTGGCTGCCGAATTCCCTATGGAACATATGGGTCATCGTATTTTTGTTAAATGTCTTCAATTGCGTTTGGAACTAGAGGTGGAACCCATCTTTGCTTCTATGGCCATTTATGATGCCAAGGAAAAGAAAAAAGTCTCCGAAAATTTCTACTTCGATATGAATTCGGATACTCTGCGAAGAATGTTGAATACTCATGTGCGCACTGCCGATGAAAGTACCCAAAGTAGATCGGCCATATTTGATATTAGCTATCCCAGTAATGATTTATTTTTGGTTATTCGCTTGGAGAAAGTTCTGCAGGGCGATATCAAAGACTCGGTGGAACCATATATTAAGGACGACAAGGATAAGTGTCGTGAAAAGGCCAAGATTAATGCATCCGATTATTGTGAGCGGTTGGGAAAATATCGCATGCCATTTGCTTGGACGGGAATATATTTGACAAATATATTCCATGGCGATAATTTTGAGGGGAAGGATGGTAAAGATGGCCAGGAAAGGGAATCAGGAGGTTCCTTGGGTTCTGCGGCCAGTTCAAACAGCCTAGATCGCAAGTCATCTACCAGTAGTTTTGACCAGTTGCGGCGCAAAGCCAATGATATGAGTGGTACATTAACACGGCGTGGATCATTGGAACGCAAGGAAAAACGTCGTTCATGGTCACCGGATGATTTTGCAAATGTTGTGGAGTCTTTTAGGCCAGTAACCCTTACAATATCGAGCTTCTTTAAGCAAGAGGCTGATAAAATGAAAGATGAAGATTTATACAAATTCCTTATGGAACTGAAAAGGCCCAGTTCCGCCATGAAGAAATATAAATGTATACCAGGGTCAATAAAACTTGAAATCTCACCTTGTCCAGATGATATTAAGAATGCATTAACACCGGAATTGGCCAAGCTGGATCCTTATCCACCAGACAAAACTCGGCCAATCAAGGAGATTCTTGAATTCCCCACAATGCCCATTTATAATCCTCATTATACATATCGCAATTTGTTGTTTGTATCCCCCAAGGAATTGAATTTCTCTTCGAGAGCTGGTTCGGCCCGCAACATTGCAGTACGTGTCCAATTAATGTCTGGTGAGACACAAAATGATGCTCTCTGTGCAATCTTTGGTAAATCATCATGTCCGGAATATTCCAATGAGGCATTTACGGCGGTGAATTATCACAATAAATGTCCAGGATTTTATGATGAAATAAAAATCGCACTTCCGGCTCATTTGAAACAAAATCATCATTTGCTGTTCACCATTTATCATGTCTCGTGTCAAAAGAAACCACAAGATGTCCAGCCATCAGTGGAAACCCCCGTGGGCTACACCTGGTTACCGTTAATGGAAGATGGTAAATTGAAGGTGGGAGAATTCCAATTACCCGTTATGGTAGAACCACCACCAGAAAATTACTCCTTCATACCACCCAATGTCCATTTGCCGGGTACCAAATGGTTGGATAATCATCGTCCCGTTTTCACTATATCTGTGGAGGCTGTAACATCGGTACACACATTGGACCCCAACCTGGATCGCTTCTTTTTAATGTGTGAATATTTGGATTCCCGCAAAATACCACCCAGAATTGGTGAGGGCAATATGGAAAGTGAAATGAAGAAATGCCTGTTGGAAATTGCAAATGCCGAAAGGGAACCATTGGTAAAGAATTTACATTTGGTATTGGACAAGTTAATCGAACTTTTGGTTACCACCTATAAAATTGGTGGCCAAACCTTGTCATTGGGCTCGACAGTTTTTGAAGTCCTTTGTTTAGTATCCGCCAATTTGTCCATACTCAATGATGATTTGGTCATCGATCAACATGGAAGGCAATCTCTACTTTCGACTTATGTCCAATTCCAAAGTAAAATACCACATCCATTTAGTGGTAAGAGACGCATCACCTGCAGTCGTAGTAATGCTGAGGAGATGCATTCTTCGAGTTCTTGCTCGGACACGTACAGTATTTATGATAATGTTGTGGCTGGTAGAAGCTTGGATCGCAAGGAGTTGGCAATGGAAATGTCGCCCACATATGTTGCCGGCAGGGATGGGCAAGTACGTTTATTACATGAAGAATTAGCACTACACTGGGTTGTGGCAAGTGGACGGGCAGCCGATTTAGCCATGAGTAATTCATGGTTTTTATTTGAATTAATTGTCAAATCAATGATAGAACATTTAGCTGTCACCTTGACTCTACAATCGCCACGGAAGCAACGTTTTCCCCATCAATATACCGATGATATTTCCACCCTGGTACATTTGGTGACCACCAAGGTTGTCGGCTATCACAGCAATGAACCGAAATTGGCACAGAGTTTAAATGCCAGTTTAAGTTTCTTTATATTCGATCTGTTTAGTGTTATGGATCGGGGATTTGTTTTTGGTCTCATCAAAACCTATTATAAAGTGCTGATATCGAAAAATGCCTCCATACCGGATTTGATGAATTATAAAATTGACTTCTTGCGTATTGTGTGTAGTCATGAGCATTATGTGGCATTGAATTTACCCTTTGGTACCCCGTATACCACAAAATCTGCACCGTGTAGTCCAACGCCGAGTACCACTTCGAATACTAGTGGAACGTCATATGTGAGTGATAACAATTTTAATAGTTTTTTTTATAGTTTAATATAAAAATTATATTTGTGTTTTCTTTTTTATAGGGATCCATTGAAAGAGCTGCCCTGCATGCCGATTTGAGTATTGATTTTCGGCAACAACATTTCTTGGTCGGTTTGGTTTTAAGCGATTTGGCAACTGTTTTGGAAGTACCGTAAGTTTATAAAAATTTTTTGTTATACTCTTCACCACAATGTGGTGCAGGGTATGATGTCTTTGTGCATATGTTTGTAACAGGCAAAAGGAAAAATGATAGACACATGATTCCTTTTGAGTCGATGGTTCCTTTCTAAGTCGATTTATGCATGTCCGCCCGTAAACAAAGTACAGGTCGCATTTATTATCCGTATTGAATGAAATTTGGCACACCTATTGAAATGGGGGAAAATCGGTTCAGATTTAAATATAGCTTTCATATATATTTTCGTCCGATTTAATGTAAATGGTGTACCAAAGTCCCTATATATATTTATATATATATATATATTTAGATATAGCTCCCATATAAAATTTGGTCCGATTTAACTTAAATGGTGTACTAAAATCCCTAAATATATTTCGATTTGGACAAAATTTGGCATAGCTTACTGAATTAAGTCTAGAATGATATGTGTTAAGTTTCGTAAAAATCGGTTCAGATTTAGATATAGCTCCCATATATATTTTCGTCCGATTTTAAATAAATGGTGCACCAAACTCCTCATGTTTTTCGGATTATTATTGTGTAATTAATTAAATCATATGTTTTATTTTGACAGCAATCCCCAACTCCATGGCAAAGCGATACGTTGCATTAAAAATCTCATGACTTCACATGATTTAGATCCCCGTTATACAGATGCTGAGGCTCGAGCACGTGTGGCTGCCCTGTATCTACCCCTCTTGGGTATTATAATGGATGCCATACCACAGCTGCATCAATATTTAACCGATTCCAATGATCGTCTACATAATATGGGTCTTTTGGAAGATTATCAAGGACCGAATACAATGATTGCAACCACTACCATTAGTCCCGAAGTAGCATATGCCATTTCCGGATCTCGTGCATATGCCTACACGGATCAAGTTAAAAATAAATCACCACTAAGCAGTGAAAATACACGTCATCTATTGGTTTGTTTCATGTGGGTTTTGAAAAATATCGAAAAATCTACATTATATCGTTGGACTTTGGGTCTGTCGCCGCATCGGGTGCATCAAATGTTACAAGTTTTGAATGCATGTCTACCCTGTTTCGAATATAAGGGACAAAAACGTTTGCCTGTCCTCAAACGTAATACGCAAAGTTTTCGCAAGACCACAGACCTCAAGGACAAGTTGGAGGAATGTATACGTGGTACCAATTCGGCACGTTATGATTTAATACAGCGGCGTAAAGATCGTAACTCAACGGAGAAATTCCGTTGGAAGAAAGATCAAATGCCGTATAGGACACAATTTTATGATACCACGGTTAAGGCTGATCCGGAAATGGAGTTGAGTCAATTCATAGAAGGTTCATTGGCCACGGAAATAACTCTGGTAATACTTGATTGTTTGGAGATAATTGTACAGGTGGCCACGCACTCAGAAATGCATCATAACTTATTGGGAACCGTGTTGAAAGTTTTACTGCATGCCTTGTCACGTAATCAAAGCACTTTGGCTTTGAAAAATCTATTCTCCTCACAGAGGTCGTTGATATTTAAATTCCCCAATTTGTTGTTCGATGAGGAGACTGACATTTGTGCTGATCTTTGTTTGCTGCTGCTCAAACATTGTGGTTCAAATTTGCCCGGAATACGTTCCCAGGCGGCAGCATCGTTGTATTTGTTGATGAGGCAAAATTTCGAAATTGGCAATGTAAGCAAATCTTTAAAATACAATTATTAAAAAAATAATTAAAAATTTTAATATTTTTTAAGAACTTTGCCCGTGTTAAAATGCAAGTGACCATGTCCTTATCCTCCTTGGTTGGCACCAGTTCATCGTTTAGCGAACAATCATTGCGGCGTGCCTTGAAAACCATTTTGGTTTATGCCGAATCAGATACTGATTTACAGGAAACCTCCTTCCCCGAACAGGTACAAGATTTGCTATTCAATCTGCACATGATTCTCTCGGACACGGTGAAAATGAAAGAGTATCAAGAAGATCCGGAAATGTTATTGGATCTAATGCATCGCATTGCAAAAGGCTATCAAAATAATCCCGATTTACGTTTAACATGGTTAGAGAATATGGCCAAAAAACATCGTGAGAGAGCAAATCACACCGAGGCAGCCATGTGTTTTGTACATTCGGCGGCATTGGTTGCCGAATATCTTAGCATGTTGGAATCACAAACACATTTACCCGTCGGAGCGGTTAGTTTCCAAAAAGTTACACCAAATTCTCTACTTGAATCGGCTGTATCAGATGATGTTCTTAGTCCCGGCGAAGATGGCATTTGTTTGGGTAATCATTTTACCGAATCGGGTTTGAAGGTTCTATTGGAGGAGGCGGCAAATTCTTTTCAAATGTAAGTGCGATTATAAAAAATTTAAATTTATATTCAAAATGTTATTTTAAATCCTAGCTAAGTTTCTTAGATATAGCTCCATATAATTTTGTCCGATTTTATGAAAATGGTGCCCCGAAGTCTCTAAATAACTTCGATTTGCACGAAATGTTGTATAGTGTATTGAATTGAGTCCTGAATGATGTGTGTTAGGTTTCGAGAAAATCGGTTCAGATTTAGATATAGCCCCAGTATATTGTTTCGTCAGATTTAATTTAAATGGTGCCCTGAAGTCCCTATATAAGATTCTATTTGCACGAAATTTTGTATAGGGTACTAAGTTTTGTGAAAATCGGTTCAGATTTAGATATAGCTCCCATCCGATTTTAAGGAAATTGTGCACCAAAGTCCCTATATATCTTTCGATTTGCACGAAATTCGAGAACGTTGTGTGCTAAGTTTCGTTGTGTGCTAAGTCGGCCCAGTCCGACTTTACTAATTTCCTTACTGGCTTATTTAACTATTTGTGTCTTCTTTTTTCAGATCCGGCATGTATGAGGCCATGAATGAAGTCTATAAAATTCTAATACCCATCTGTGAGGCCAATCGAGATTTCCAAAAATTAAGTAAAATCCATGGCAAATTACAGCTGGCCTACAATCGCATTGCTCAATTGCAGGGTAAACGTGTCTTTGGCACATACTTCCGTGTGGGTTTCTACGGGGCCAAATTTGGTGATTTGGATCAGCAGGAGTTTATATACAAGGAGCCAACACTCACCAAATTACCGGAAATATTTAGTCGGCTGCAGGTAAGATTTATTTTAAAAATGCTGCAAAAAACATGAATATCTTTAATGGCATTTTTTAGAACTTTTATGCGGAGCGTTTTGGTCCAGATTCTGTGCACATTATTAAGGACTCAAATATTGTGGATGTCAATAGTTTAGATCCCGAAAAGGCATATATACAAATTACTTATGTGGAACCATATTTTGAAAACTATGAGCTAAGGCATCGAGAAACATATTTTGAAAGGAATTTCAATATAAGTATGAATGAATATTTCAAAAACAGTCAAATATTCTTCCTTCATTAACCTCAATTGTATTTTGTAGAACGTTTTATTTTTGCCACCCCTTTTACCAAGTCGGGTAAAGCCCATGGCGAGCTGCATGAACAGTGTAAACGTAAAACCATTTTAACCACAGCCACACATTTCCCCTACGTGAAGACCCGCATTCAAGTAATTAATCGCCAACAAATTGTCTTGGAACCCATTGAGGTGGCCATAGAGGATATTCAAAAGAAAACCATAGAATTGGCAGCGGCCACAAATCAAGAACCAGCTGATCCGAAAATATTACAAATGGTTTTGCAAGGTTGCATAGGAACGACCGTAAATCAGGGACCCATGGAAATGGCGGCGGTATTTCTTTCGAATCTCTCGGATGGTGTAACCATACCCACAAAACATCAAAACAAATTGCGTCTCTGCTTTAGAGAATTTTCCAAACGTTGTGCTGATGCTCTCAAGAAAAATCGAAATCTTATACTGTCCGATCAAAAGGATTATCAACGGGAATTGGAACGTAATAATGAGCGGTTTGTAGAACGTCTAACACCGTTGATTACATTAACACCCACGCAGGCGCAGGGTGTTGTTAAGTAAGCTTCAAAACATTTTTTAATAAAAAAATAATTTCTAAAACTTTATCTTTTTTCTAGGGCCAATGCAGCCAGCAATCGTGGAACACCCTTAAAATGGTAACTTAATACTACCATGCTCTCTCTTTGAATTTTTTCGTTTACGAATTTAATTTTATTTACGAATTTTAAAGTATTATTTTTTATTTTAACATATATTGATGTCTACACTTGCTTTTTATAGTAGCCATATTCACTCTTACTCACACACATATACATATATAGCTTATCATAATACCATATTTTTTCTTCTTTTTCCCCTCATCCTCCAACTTTTTTACATGTCTGCTCACAAATGGATTTCTCGAATATATGTGTATTTGTTTTAATTTATTTTTTATTGCTATTCTCAGTGTTTCAGATTATTTTAAGTAATGGTCATAATAATTACATATATATAATAAGTATATATTATATACATACACATACGTGTATGAACACTTTTTTACACAACGATATCATTCATATTTTTGATACGCAAACCAGCAAAAAATCAACATTTAATACTGGGCATTTGAAAATTATTTTGCACCATACATTTTTTTATATTTTTTCAAAACCAAATAAAAAGCCAAAAATTAGTGAAAACAATAAACAAATAAATACATACATACATTTATACCCATCATTTAATTAATTCAGATTTTTGGTATTGCTCTTCTAATACTTTTTTTGGGCTATTAGGAATAATGTTTTGAGGTTGAAGTGATAGCTGTGATTTTTTATTCGACATAATTGGTATACCCTTCACCATTCTATGGCATTATGTCTTTGTGCATATGTTTATAACAGGCAAAAGGAAACGAGATAGACCCATGATTCCTTTTGAAAATGTGTATAGAAGCACTTTCAGAGTCGATTTATGCATGTCCGTCCGTTTGTCCGTCCATCTTACATTGTAAACAATGTAGAGATCGCATTTATTTTCCTATTGAGCTAAAATATGCCATAAATCATTTATTTAGCCCAAGGACGAACCCTATTGAAATTGGCAAAAATCTGTTCAGATTAGCTCCCATATAAATTTACGTCCAATTTAAGCAAAATGGTACTAAAGTAGTCGATTTGCACGAAATTAGGCATAGCGTACTGAATTAAGTCTAGAACGATATGTATTAAATTTCGTGAAAATCGGTTCAGATTTAGATATAGCTTCTATATATATTTTCGTCCGATTTTAGGTAAATATTGCACCAAAGTCCCTATATATCCCTCGATTCGCACGAAATTTGGCATAGCGTACTGAATTAACTCTAGAACGACGTGTGTTAAATTTCGTGAAGATCGGTTCAGATTTAGATATAGCTCCCGTATATATTTTTTTATTATTTATTTTAATGTTTTGTAATAAAAAGCCGAATGGCCAAGAAACAACACAGTACGCTGCGATGGAAGGGAGATTAATTCCTCTATAGTTGGCACATATCGTCTTGTCTACTTTTTTGTGCACGGGACGCAGGATGCTGAGGTCCCTATCATTGGGCATGCATTCCTCTATTCAAATTGTACTAATCGGTGTATGCTTCTGACCAACATCTGACCACCAGTCATGAATAGTTCAGCTGGTAACCCATTTGCACCTGCTGCTTTATTATACTTCAGCCGATTGATTGCTATTCTAACCTCATCTTGGCTAGGTCGTATACACTCTATACCGTTATCACATATTGGTTCTGGGGTATCTTCTTCAGCGCTACTATTTGGTACTAAAATGCTCCTTCCAGATCATCAACACGCTGTCTGTATCTGTCAACAGGTTTCCTTCTACATACCTACAGGAGGATGTGCCGGCACCAAAATCGAATTTTGCGTCTCCTAGCAGAATTTTAATGTCGGCGCTCGTAAAATATGTCTTTGATCTGTTCATCTTTGTCTTCCGTCGTCGTAGAAGAACTTCGCTTTTATACGGATTGTACGGCAATTCACTCATCTACTGGAGTGAATCTGGATAAGAGATATTTTATTATCCCGTTAACTATAAATCCGCATCCAAATTCATGTCTCGTTTCATGGCAGCTATAATACATTGCGTAATCGTCTGATTTACATACGCCTCTCCCTTTCCATCTCATTGCCTGTAAGGCAATAATATCAGCTTTGTACTTTTTGAGTGCTGCATCCGCCAAGACGAAAACTGCGCCTGTTCTGTACAACGTGTGCAAATTCCAAGTGCAGATTGGCAGATCACGAGGTGGTATTTTCTATTTTCTTTGCTTTTGCATAGCATGAGGGGGTTTCCGAGTGTGGGCAACTTATGGGTGAACTCGCGGCACATATCAGCTCACTATTTCAATGGATGATGAAAATATTTGCCCCAGGTGACACCGCGGGGAGGTCAGTCTCCACAATTGAGATGATAGAGGAACCAAGATAAGCCTGGGCTTGGATTGGAATAGATTTCAGAATATGTTTATTGATTGATTTAAATTGGTACATATATCTATATAGAAAGAGTTTTCTTTCTATTGTACACTTAAAACTCAGATTTCACTGTAACATTAATATCACATACAATCACATCACTTATTTCAACACTCCGAACGAACATACATTAAAAACATGCAAAACTTTTTTTATACTGGAACAAATATCAATTAATAAAATACATTTTGCATAATAAGCCAAAAACATGTTTTATACCTTTTTTGATACAAAATAAAAGTAATGGTAAATAAATATAACAATTAACAATAGATAATTCAATTGTATTTTATTTTCTTATTCTTATTCCTTTCGGTATGTATGTGTAAAAACAAGTAAGTAACCAATATATTTACAACTATGTTGTACTAATAATTATTACCAGTACTAATAATAATTATAACGTATTTACATAATTTATTCTCATAATAACAAATAGTTTTTTTCTCTCTCGTTTTAACAAATAACAATATTCTATTTTTTTTTTTTTTTTTTTTGAGTAAATTTTCGAATCACTGGAAATTAAATGCATATCCTTTAAATACTTCAAAGAATTTCTCTTCATCTGATGCGCTATCAATTAAACCTAAACGATTGGCAATTTTCGCTGCCTCCTCCAAACTATCCAATAGTATATCATGGCCAGCGTCTTTGGTAATTGTTTGCCATTCGGTTAAATCGGCTACGACAGTGTGTAAATTTGTTTCATCCGCTATATCCTTGGGTATAACATGCGAATTTTGTATTTTTTGTAAAAATTTTACTACAAACAAAAATTGAATTGAGTGATTGAATGTTTATGAGTTTTAGAGAACTTTTTTACTTACAATCGATTTCATTAAAGTTTAATTTTTTGGCATGTTCAGACCACCATTTTAAAATTAAACTAAGATAGTATTTCGTTGTTGCTTCAGAATCACGAAATAAACATGTCAAATAATAGTCACAGAATATCATGTGTAAAAGTTGTACAGACAGACGGGAAATTTCAGTTACTTCGTCAGTACCTAGAATAAAGTTTAATAAGGATTTTTTTCTTTATTTGCAAAAATATTACAGTTATACCCTCTGATTTTTAAAACTTTTTTAAATAAATGTGATATTTCAAAAACCTATTCTTTAAAGAATATAAATTTTACTTTTCTATTCTAAATGTTTGGGCATTTAAATAATAAAAAAATATTTTTACTTACAATATTCCATTTTGTGGAAAATCCATTGTCGCATCAATTGAAATACCAACGTTACAACGCTAAGGCATAATTTAATATAACATTCACATTGTGTTGTGGATATTATACTATTAATATTTGTACTATCTACAGTCCCAGCTGTTGTTGTTGCCTTTAAATTACTTGTCGAATTTGTAACCGATTTGGTTGTAGAATTTTGTTCAGTTGTTTCGAAAGCACCATAAGTTCTACTTGCTGTTGTTCCGTCATTAACATCCATCATTTCGTCATCATCCTCTTCTTCGTCGTCATATATGGGTAACATTCGATGGATAAATTTGGGTGGTTGTATAAAACAGTGATATGCAAAACGTATATGATTCCAGCATATATCAACTAACAAACGGAAATGTTCCAAATGCAGGCCAGCACTGAGGGGGAATACAATTTCCAAAAGACCACAATAAACCTAAAACGAACACCTCTTATAAAAATGCATTTCCCCAACAATTATATTCTCACCTGCATAAAACACGATTCATTGGAGAAACGATATGTGGATTTGACACGATCAGCCACAAATGTCGCTTCCGGACTATTTATACACAACATATCTAGGATTTGTGGTAATTTACAACTTTCGAATAGACAAATTGAGATCTCTCGAAAAATCCAAGCACATGGACGGGTAAAGACTATGTGTTTCATGTGATCGACTAACATTTCCATATACGATGTTTCCGTATCGTGAGAAATGTGTCGTAACATACTCTTCAACCAAACAGAGAATGCCTCCAGCACACCAAAATGTTCACAAATACCACAAGCAAATCCCAATGTTACGATGGAATCGGTGGCAATTTGCAGCAAATAATATTCGCCATGTTTGTGCTGCAGCAGAGCCAAAGCTAGTGAAGCTTCACGTTGACACATAATTGCCAGAATGGCAATATATCTACGAAAACATAGACATCGTTCACGTTCGTATATTTCACTTGGCTGTTGCAGCAAACGATTCGGGTAGATCTTCGAATCGCTCAGCGAATAGTTGTGATACGGGTGGACCTCACAGTATTTTAGAAAGTACAAGGTTTGTGTATAGGACCAAAACTCCGGAAATACCTTACACACCGATTCTATACACCGTGTTATGAAATCCTTGGGTATCTCATGGACAGCCATTAGTTGCAATTGTGCCAGCAGGGTTTGAATATTTTCCAGTTCCCGCTCGAACAATGTTTTACGTTTAACAGTTCCTCCCTTGTCCAAGGAGGAATCAAAAACTGGTGGATACAGTTCAATATGTTCGTCATTTAGTTCGGGGGAGATATTTAAATCCAATGATTGCATTTTCATAAGGCATTTCTTTAATTTTTTGTCCTGTTTGCTTCCTGGCATCTCTGTTCGATTTAGTAGAACCATACTCTGTTGCAGCTTCTGGGTTTCATCGGCTTGTTTCATTTTCATTCGGGAGGTCTGAGCCTCCTTCAGGCGTATTTCGGCCTGCTGGGCCTCCACCTTTTTGGCCAATTCGGCAATTTTTAGTTGACATTCACCCTTGGCTGCCTCAGCACTGAAAATCTTTTCCATTTTCAAATTATTGGCCTGTTGTTTCATATGTCGTAGTTCATCGCGCAGCAATGATACTTCACCTTCTTTGGATTCAATTTTAGATTTTGATTCCGTCAGTTTGTTGCTAATTTTTAGATTTTCTTTTTTCAGGGCATCTACTTTTTCCATTAGGAATTTAATTTGCCTTTCCGAGGCCAGTTGTCGCCGTGCTGAACTTTGCACTGAAGCACAACTGGTGTCGGGGAGATTGTTACTCTGTGTTAATCTTATTTCAAATATATCCTCTGATTCCGTGTTTGTTGTTGGTGGAGGTTTTTGAGAGGGAGGTTTTTCAATGGTTTGTCTAGGTTTTGAGGCTGTAGCGACCGGCTTTTGAGGCCGCGGAGGTGCAATAGGTTTCTTAAAAGGTGCCGGATCTTCTTTCTCTACTGCCGCCATTAAATCATCGTCATCATCTTCGAACATTTGGGAAAGTATATCCGGACCTGGTATCTCATATGTGGCTGCGGGCATTTGTGTACTTGTTGTAGCCGCACTGGCAAACTCGGTAAATGTTATTTCCGTTTCGGATATAATGGCATTGCTGTTGTTGCTGGTTTTGGCCACAGCTGCTGCCTCAGCAACTTGAGTTGCCAGTAGAATCACATCATCATCATCGTCATCCCAAAAATTATTTTCCACCTCATTGGAGGTGGAAGTGGTCTTGGTTGTGCTGACCGTACTATGATGAGTGGAACCACGATTGATACTTATGTCCAATTTGGGCTTTTTCATGTTGCGGCCAAATTCCTTCATGGGCTGGAAACGTTTTGCCATATTGTCTTACATTAATCAAAAAATTAAACAAAACATAAAACAAGAAATAATTAATCTTCAATCCAAAAAATCCCGCTATTTCAGTCTCTGGTTGCCAAATGAACGAATGAATGGTTCACTTAAAGGAATTATCGGAACTGTCATCATCGTGCTATACACTGTAAAAAAGATCGATATATGCCGTACACCTTAAATCACTCGTGTACAAAATATTACGATAGCGGTGATGTCTAAACACTTATTCTCTTTTTTTATTTTCGTCTGTCATTCTTAATGATTATCTCTGGGTTACGCTCTCACACTTATTCTCAGTTTAGTTCCATTCAACACTGCCTTAAATCTACAATTGTTGCTGGTTTAGGTGAAAAGCTCTGGAACACAACCAGTATTATCGATAACACATGCCTTCGATACTGTATATACCATCGATTTGTTGTCACCTCCATACTAATGTTTACATTTTTACACGCACGTGTGTATAGTCGTTCGTATTTTTTTTATTTGATATTTTCATAAATAAAATATATACAAATATGCCGGCCCTTGAGGAGAAACCCCGATTATATATGGACGAGTATAAACTCAAACAGGATCCACACGATTATGGCCTAGCGGATGAACCAATTGACATTGAAACATACAAGGCAAAAATGAAAATTGTAATTGTCAGGTGGGTACAACAACAATTTTTACGAGAGTCTCCAAACAATCCAAATAATAATGCTCCGGAATTTTAGATATGAAGGTGATGAATTGGAATTCGATTTAATTGGTGTACATCCCGCATTTGCCAATGCTTTTCGCCGCCTGATGCTCAGTGAAGTTCCCAGCATGGCATTTGAAAAGATCTACATTTACAACAACACATCAATTATACAGGATGAAGTGTTGGCCCATCGCCTTGGTCTAATACCATTGAAAGCAGATCCACGCCTATTTGAATATCGCAGTGAAGAAAATGAACAAGGCACCGAACATGACACTTTGGAATTTGAACTGAAAGTCAAGTGCACCAGACGCAAAGACATTAAGGACTCGTCAAATTTTGATACCATCTATAAAAATCACAAAGTACATTCAGGACAAATTAAATGGTTGCCGCGTGGTAAACAAGCCCAGCTATATTCGGAATCAGATGTTGGCTGTATACATGATGATATTTTAATATCGCAGATGCGTCCCGGTCATGAATTCGATTTGAAAATGGTTGCCGTTAAAGGTATTGGCAAAGATCATGCCAAATTTTCACCAGTTGCTACAGCATTTTATAGACTGTTGCCGGAAATTAAATTGAAACGCCAAGTCAAAGGCAAAGATGCACAAATGCTGCAAAAATGTTTTTCACCCGGTGTCATTGGCATTGATGAGAATGATGTGGCCTATGTTAAGGATGCCCGTTATGATACATGCAGCCGTAATGTCTATCGTTATCCCGAGTTGGCTGATGCTGTTGAAATGTCAAGGGTACGTGATCATTATATCTTCTCGGTGGAATCTGTGGGTGCATTAAAGCCGGATGTAATTTTCGTTGAGGCAGTTAAAGTGCTGAAGAAGAAGTGTCGTAAATTTCTGGAAGAAATCGAAGCAGCGTAGATTATATTCTATATAATATATTATTTTGAGTTTATACCAAATTTGGCTATAAAATACTTTGTTTAATTTGTATTTTTTAAGAAATAAAAGAAAATTGTAAAAATGTATATTTTTCTTGTTTATATTCAAAGGAGATTTTGGGCATTACAACACAATTTGGGTTACAGAATTTGCAATGAGTATTGATTTATAGATATTCAACCTAGACGTTTACAAAACGATCGAAAAAATCCGGAGGAAATAATTTTGCCGACTGGCTTTTTTAATAATTAAAAAGTATATAAATTTAAAGATAAATAAATGCTTATTATTGTAGTATTACTCATCAAAACAAAAAATATAGGGAGATTATCAATAACAAGGGGCATCAAATTTAATTTTTAAAATTAAAATTTTTTTTTTTTAATGTAGGCCTATTAATAATGTCATCCGGGGAGACCAGTTGCATATCAGATGCTTCCAAAGTTTGCTGTCAAAATCCATTATTGTGAATTGATTTCCATTTTGATAACGTAAACAAAGACCAAATTTTTGACGCTTGCTGGGTGACCTTATTAATAGATCTTGCTTTGGAAGCAGCTGATATCCATGGATGACCTTATTAATAGGCCTTGGACCATACCTATTGATATGAAGACTAAAAATAACAAGATATGCCCGAAATTCACATTCATTTAAAGCTTTACATTTTCCTTAATAATATAAAACTGAGTAGATGTAAAATATTAAAAATTTAATATATCAATATTAAAAATATTACAAAGTTAATAGTGTGAACTCATGAAACCTCTTTCTATTAATAGTCGCCCTATGACTCTTTCGTTTCTTTTCACAAACGACAACAAAACATTTACATTCACTCAGTATTTCAATTCGGTGACGATAAAATGTCGAAATCAGAAGGTATGTTCTCTTGCAATTACAATCTCGGAAAATCAATAATAATTTTCATAATTAGGAAAAACGTCCAATATATATCCCACGGCCCCACCCGAAACCGTAATGGGCAATGACAATTTCCAGGTAAATGCGTTGTTATATTTTAATTTGTTCATCTTATTGATTTATTTCTTTGTCAGAGAGGACCTCCACCCCCTTCATATGATGAGGCTCTAAGAATGTCAACAGCCCCCGCCTCAACTTACCAACCAGCACAATATTATCAACCACAACAACAACCCTATCAATTTCCAAGTCAGCAAGCCATGACGTATGCACCACCAACTGCTTCTGGACCAAGTTCTTCATATGGCTATGTTAATCCATATCCGGCCCATATGCAACAACATCAAAATTATTATAATGCAACACCGCCGCCTACAACTAATGTTGTAGGCCGTATGTCACCCAGTCATAATGTTTTGGAATTTCACAAGCGTGCTGAGATAAGAACAACGGCAACGGGTGCAATCACAGTTCCTCCACCACCACCGGGTTGTGCCCCCACTCCCGCCCAATTGGCGGCAATGTCCGGACAACCAGTTATGATTAAGAAAAAGAAAAATTCATTTTTTTAGAGCCATTACGTTCGTGTTCTTGTATTTCATTATATTATTGTATACCTATGTGTATATGTAGAGTACCTCTTAAACTTATCTTTCATGAATATACCTCAAAATGTAATGTGTTAAATAAAGTATTGTAGAACCCTTGAAAATAATTGTTGATAAATCGTAAAACTATCGAAATCAGAATTAAATCAAAATTGTTCATTTCGAATTTTACCCATTAAGAGGACGACTTTAAATATTTCTCACGTACTAAAATCCTCAGACCGCTGTAGAAATTATGCGAATATTTCGGTTTATTTTAAATTCCCCTATGAATGTTTGAAACAAATCTATAATCATTTAAACTTAAAAACGATTTGCGAAACAAGTCAAATTTAAGTCTAGGTCGCAGACAATTTTGAAATTTTTACAACAGTCGTTCTTCATGTTACGCTTCATTATTTGGTGTTTGTATCGGAAAATTCTAAAAAAAAATAAAGAAAATATAGTAAATCGGCAAAAATGCGCCCCATCGAAATATTGGTTTTAGTCCCCATGCTTCTTCTGACCAAATCAGTTTCAGAATTACATAGATCCGTCTTTCTAGCTAGTAAGGAGTAACCTCCTTCTAGGAGTAACCGATTTCATACAAACGTTAAAAATATGTTGAACCAAATACAATAGTATGGAATGTCGGATTTGAAACACTAATGCACAAAATAGTACGATAGCGGTGATTGCTAAATACGTTTTTGTCTCTTTTCGACAGTCATTTTTGATGATTATCTCTCAGTTACGCTCTCACATACTTACTCTCAATTTAGTTCTGTTCAACTCTGATTTGAAACAAAATACACGTCAAGATTTTACTGAAAATTGATTTTATATCATTCGAAAGGACTATCCATTAGAACCAAGCTTTGCACAACCTACTGTTTTAACCATGTCTGTATAATGTTTAAAAATGGGGTTTATCGGTCCAATCCTTATTGTCAAGGGTCAACATTATGAAAACTTGTAAATCTCATATCAAGCGAACGGAATATCCAAAATTCGTCGAAAAGGCACATATTTTGTTTACCTTACATACATAGATCAAATTCGAGGTAGGATTTCTGGCAACATTAACAGATGTAAAAAAATTCTAAATTCACAGAATTGCAAACATGGGGTGCACAATACATATATACATATGTATGTTTATGTTTTTAATAAACTTTAATTTTAATTAAAAAAATATATGTATAGTTCTTCACGTATCAGGATTCAGTTATAGTCCATTAAAGGACTTAAAACGAAATTCGGATATAGTCCTAATTCGCTTATAGTCCACAAAAATTGTGCAACTATTGTTGTGGACTATAAACGAAAACTACTGTACCTCCACATTTTACAAAACTCCACGCCCATGTTGGTTATTTGCAAAATTAATTTAAAAAATTCACGCCTACGTTGGGAGCTTGAAAAATAAATTTTCAAAATTTAAATTAAAAAAACAGATTAAAACAATTTTAATTGAAAATTAATATAATAATAATTAATTTAAAAAAATCCAAGCATATTTTGGTAGCTTGAAAATTAAATATTAAAAAAATTCACGTCTACATTGATAGCTTTAAAAAATAAATTAAAAAAATTCAAGCCTATTTTGATAGCTTGAAATTCCGAAAAAATACCTTAATTAAAATTAAATAATTATTTTAAAATTAAGGCTTAAATGCACTTTACGGACACCTCTCAGATCATTTTGAAATGTTTATCATAGGTAGTCCTTCTGATGCTGATTACAGCAACATACGTTTTTTCGGGGGGAAAAATTCCCGAGATATGGGGTTTAAAGTTCAAAAAATACCCCCACTTTTATTAAACATATTTAAGAATACCACTCCGATACGTTTATTTTTTTTACAGCACATAGTCCTTTTGGAGCTGATTACAACCACATAATTTTTTTGGGGGAAATAATACTTCCGGATATATAGGAGAATGTCTTAAATCCCCGGCCGGCTATTTAGAAAAAATTGAAATTAAAAGAGAATTCTGCTCGCGTAGCCCAATTTTCCACCTGTCCATAGGAGAAAGTCTTAAATCCCCGGCCGAAGGCCGGCTATTTAAAAAAAAATTAATTAAAAGAGAATTCCGCTCGCGTAGCCCAAGTTTCCATCTGTCCATAGGAGAAAGTCTTAAATCCCCGGCCGAAGGCCGGCTATTTAGAAAAAATTGAAATTAAAAGAGAATTCTGCTCGCGTAGCCAAATTTTCCACCTGTCCATAGGAGAAAGTCTCAAATAACCGGCCGAAGGCCGGCTATTTAAACAAATTTAAATTAAAAGAGAATTCTGCTCGCGTAGCCCAATTTTCCACCTGTCCATAGGAGAAAGTCTTAAATCCCCGGCCGAAGGCCGGCTATTCAGAAAAAATTGAAATTTAAAGACAATTTTGTTCTCATAACTCAATTTGTTGTCGGATAATAAGTAAGGGTATGAAATGTAGGTTTTTATTACATTTTGATACTCCATATTTCCGGAAGTACGAAGTTCTCACCAAAAAAAAAAATTATGTGGTTGTAATCAGCTTCAAAAGGACTATGTGCTGTAAAAAATTTAAACGTTTCGGAGTGGTATTCTTAAATATGTTTAATAAAAAGTGGGGGTATTTTTTGAACTTTGGAACCCCATATCTCGGGAAGTACTGATTTCCCCCCGAAAAAATGTATGTTGCTATAATCGGCATCAGAAGGGCTACCTATGGTAAAAATTTCAAAATTATCTGAGAGGTGTCCGTAAAGTGCATTTGTTCCAAAATTAATTTTAAAAATGTTGGTAGCTTGGAAATTTAATTTTAAAAAAATATAAGCCTACAGCTAGACATTTAAAATTAATATAATAATAACCATAAAAATATGTTAATTGTTGGATAAACAGTATTATATTTAATACTCAGAAACTAGATACGTTATCCTTTCAAATGTTTTTTCTTTCAATTTAATACGATCATTATTACCAAAGTTGCAGCCATTTAAAGAATCAACCCAACAGCATAGCACTGCAATTCAAAAATATGCATGCACAATCAATGGATCAAGCAAACGAGAGATCAACCCCCACCACCCACTTTAACAACACCATTACAATGCAAAAGCATACAACAACATAAATTGCTATGAACATCAGTCACCCACTTTGTGGAGCATAACAACAATATGACAGTAAGAGACTAGAGAACAAATCACTGAGAAGAGTACATGTGTTCTCTTGCATACTCCGTCACATTCTCCCATAGCGAAGCAGTGACATCAATAAACAGTAGCAATGAGAACAAACGAAGTTTGGCGCCTTTTTCCTTGTGAAATTGCAAAGAATATTCTTGTTCTTACCTTTTAATCATGTCCACTTTTGTATAAACTGCTCGTCTTTTCGAAGAAAACACAAATTATACACACACACGGGGAATATTAAAAAATTGTTATTAATCTGTTGGAAAATGCAAACCGGATTGTAAAAACCCCGAATAAATATCGACACAAAATCTTACATTGAATATTTAACGCAACGATATGGACATGGAAACGAAAAGGAACATCAATAGGAAGTAAAAGATTTAACTACTACACAACAACACGAATAAGGCAAAGCGATACACGATTTGTTCCCTTTAAAAATTGATATTTCTTATTAAATACACTCGCGAACCAAGAACGGACCTCTACCGGGCCATTTATTTAATAACTTTGCAATGGTAATATTCCAATTCGATCGATTTTTTTATTGCATAGGAACCGCACGCAACCGCACTTAACGACATTTAAAGATGAACTAAAGTCGAGTAATTTCCGAGAACAATGAATGGATAAAACGAATGGAGAATTACCCCACACACTCACACACAGAATTGTTGCTGCTTGAAGATGTCATGAGATGCAAAAGTAAAATTCAAATTAGAACTCCCAAATTAGAGCAATGCAATTTACAACGGAGAGTAGCAACAGTAATGACAATTTAGCGATTTTTTGCATTTTTTAGTTTAAGTGAAAAAAGAAACATTATTATTATTGTTCAAGGGTCACAAAAAGGTGTGGTTTTATTAAAATAAATGTTTCAGTCTAACAGGCGTAAAGTCCAAGTTTGAAAAATTAATTTTAACAAGTATCTATGATCGGCGGAGGCCCACGAAACTATACGCAAGCTTTATTATTATGTATAAAAGATATATGTTTTATCAAAGAGTGGACCATCTGTGGAGAGGGACGAGTAGAAGTGGTCCGACAGGTCCTACCTTCGAATTTGATCTTTGTGAGGTACACATATTGCAATGTGAAAGCTTCAATAAATTTGAATATTTTGTTCGCTTCATGAGATGAAAAAAAAATCAAAATGTAGACCCTTTTGTGGAGGAGGTAGTTTAGTTTTTTGTTCAAATCGGATAGAACATTTTTATCAGAAGCGGATTTGGTACATGAGGTCCAAAACCACTATTTCAACGAGGCAAATAAAATATAATAATAAAAGAAACAACATTAACCATTCTTCTTTGTTATTGGCCTTTCTCCTGGTCCTTGAGTAGATTTGTTTATTAATTTTGTTTTCATACATCATCGTTTCAACATTGTCTCACATAAACATACAAACAAATCTTCCCACGGTTGGTGCAGTCAAAAGGCGGCGACTATTCTCTCATTTATTTATAGCAAAATTTATAAATTATGTTGTTTTAGTTGGCTGGTATGCACAATACGGGGATTATCGAAATTAAAAACAAAATACACGTAGAAAATGTTTATTCTAAAATAGTGGTTCATAGTAGTTACTATCGAATGTATTGACACGCACAAAACCATCTTCACCACCGGAAGCATAACTTCTACCATCGGGATGGAAAGCCAAACTGTTGATGGGACCAAAATGACCCTTAAGACGGGCGAATTCTTCTTCATAGATAAGATGGAAGAAACGGGAATCGAATTTGCCAGCCTTGGTAGATGTTGTTGTTACTTCCATAGCATCTTGACCACCGCCCAAAACAACATGATCCATAATGGGACTGATCGCAGCGGAGTTAACGGGTCTTTCAGTCTTGTAGGTCTTCAAACACATCAACGATTCCGAATCGAATAATTTGGCTGTGTTATCCTTGGAAGCTGTCACAAACATGGTGCCATCTTTGTACATTTGCATGTCATTGATGCCGGCGGTGTGATCATTGACCGAGTTAACTTCACGGCCTTTTCTAATGTCCCAAATGGAAATTTGACCATTGTCATGACCTGCAAAAGCAAAACAAAAATATAATTAATTATTAAGATTTTAAATCGATTGGATATAATGCCTACCAGTAATAATAGTTTCATCCAAAGGACCCCACAACATGGAGGTAATCTTCGATTGCAACATGGGTATGCGCAAAATTGGCGTTTGATCAGACAAACTGGAATCGGCATTGCGAACATCAATGATAAACAGTTCAGAATTTTGACCCATAGCCTTATCTGTACTGTAAGCAGCCTGATTTCCCGAATAACTGAAGTTGCAAGTACGCACTGATGATTTGGTGGGTATCGATGCAATCACCGTACCATGCTCAACATCCCACAGCTTAGTCGTCATGTCACCAGAACCGGTAATAAGTTTTGAAGTGGTCCAATCAACATCAAGACACCAAATAGCACCCTGATGGCCATCATAGGTACCGAGACGTTCGCCATTGTTCGAGTACCAAACATTGGGCTTTTGATCTTTGGAGCAGGAGAACAATAAATCACCTTCACGATTGTATTTGATTTGCGTAATGGAACGCTCATGGCCCTGGAGCATTAAAGGTCTCTGCAAAAGAAGAAAAATGACACATGTTAGAAATCGCACACACACATCTCATTTGGAGAATAACAAATAAGTTTTAGGGCCGTGGTGTTTGTAGGTTATGTTGTACACAGAAGAATTTCCAAACATTGTTAATGTTTCGCAAATTGGCGATACAAAATAATCCACAATAACTTTAAGCACTTTATGGTATTAGAAAATGTTTGGCAGCAAATTGAACCATTATTTACCATTTTAATCTATTTTTTATTCGTTCTTTTCTATTAAAAATATTTTGCAAATTCCATGCAACTAAACTGAGAGACGTCAAAAGAGCGTTCGTGTCACAGTGCCACCAAAATGAGAAGCGTTCCACAACAATCGATTGGGGTGATTTATCGATTGTTTTTGCAATAAATTAAAAATCGGTTGGTTATTTACAGCAGACTGTATCTTTCTCCAATGTTATTGGAAATGGGCTATTTAGCAAAAAAGCAAAACAAAATTATTTTTTTGGAATGTTTCAGCACAGCCAGCAGTTAATTCTTCAAGGTTCTATTCTATTTGTTAGATTCCCCCTTAACATAAAAGCAAAAAAAAGTTGATCCACTTAGCCCTAATTTGCTTTGGTATTTGGTATCTAGCCGATTGACTACAAATGATGAGTAATCATTAATCCAGCACCATCAGCTGGTAATTTCCTTAAGTTTTCAGGTGTTCTCCAAGGCATTTACGTAAAATTTCCTTATTTATAAGATAAAACATTCATCAGCACACGATCATGTCCCGACAAATGCAACGTCTAATTGCGACAGCTTGCAGGAGGCAAGCATTCACTCAAAATGAAGGCCTGCTTAGGCAAAACATTGTTAGGCAACAACGTCGTTTTGTTGCTAGCGACCCGGTAAAAGGTAAAGGCCCCATAACATGGAAAAGTGCTGCGGCTATTGGTGGCCTGGGGGCGGTTGGTGTTGCCTTTATGTTATATGTGAAACATGAAAAAGAAGAAGCCATTCTGAAGGAACGTAAACGACAATTGGGCAAGGCTGCCATAGGTGGTCGTTGGGAACTCGTTGATCCCAAGGGTAATCTGCGGAAATCTGAAGACTTTTTGGGCAAATGGTTGTTGATCTATTTCGGTTTCACCCATTGTCCTGATATTTGCCCAGATGAATTGGAAAAAATGTCTGCTGTAGTTGATGAAATTGGTAGGTTTTGAAATATTTTTTAGACAGACTTTGTGTGTTAATACTTTCATTTTTTCTTTATCTAGAAAAATCTCCACAAAATCCCGAAATTCAACCGATTTTCATAACCGTTGATCCGGAACGTGATACCAAAGAAGTTGTCGACAAATATGTCAAAGAGTTTTCACCCAAATTGTTGGGCCTCACCGGCACCGTTGAACAAATCAGTAAAGTATGCAAAGCATTTAGAGTATACTTTTCGGCTGGCCCCAGGGATCAGGATAACGACTACATTGTAGATCACACAATTATTATGTATTTGGTGAATCCTGATGGTGAATTTGTCGATTATTATGGACAAAATCGTGACAAAGATCAGTGTGTTAGTTCGATTCTAATGAATATTGCCAAATGGAATTCCTTAAATAAAAAATCATGGTTTGGTTAAGTAGGATGACGGTGTGGCAGAGGCGAAGGCGCACAATTGCAAATTGTGTTGAAATATACATAAATATATTGTTATTGCTATTTTTAATATAAAGTTATATTAATAAATAAAAAATAAATGTTTGATAATAATAAAGATTTGTTGTAGATAAGACTGTCAAAGCAATGAGTAGGGTTTTAGTAAGCTCAAGGCACCAAATATCAAACTGACTTCTTTCATAGCACATTTTTAAATTAATTTTTTCTGAATTGCTGGACTTCGCCTACATAGTAGAATTTTTTTCATTTGGACAGGGACATTTGGGCGTATTTTGAACCGAAGTGGTTTTTGCGGTCTAGCAAGGTAACATAAAAAAATGCAAAAAATGTTTAATATACGTACATTTTGGTGTTGCTTTGTTGGTTGGTCTCAAATGCATGTTTCCAACAGAAGTGGCCGAAATTTGGCAGTCCATTAATGTGATTCTAATTAATATTAATTTTTAACTGCAGTAAAAAATGCAATCTCAAATTTATTGCAAAATGTGACCATTAACGGCACATTTAAGCACTTCCCTTGAAAAATGGCAACAAAAAAGTCAGTGATCTATAAAATACATGATATAATTATACAAGGTAATCACATGCAAACATATAGAGCTTTATTCTGAATATACGCTAGGGGGAGATCTCGCTTGTGAAAATGTTTTCGCTTTCACATTCTTGGAAGAAGCAAAAATTGCGAAGAGCGAGTTCGAATTTTCGAAAATGGTGGTTGCCATATTGAAATTTAAATTGTAATGTGTGTTGCCCCATTCTAAGTTAATTTTGTAATATTTTTCAATATTTTATTTGTTGATTTTTTAATTGTTATTTAAACCTTATAACAATATTAATGTGAAATATCAAGAATCCGGTGTAAAACTGCTTTGTAATAAAAAATAAAGTTTGAAAATATGGCAACATACAACGGCATGTGAAACAGCTGTTTATTGTTTGATGCAATTTGGTGCAACAACTACAACAGAGTACAAATAAAAGAAAATTGTTTATGATGGCAAAAACAACAATGAACGATTTCAAGGGCACAACGAATATTGGGAAGAAATCTGTTATTGAATTAAATTAATTCGCAGTTTATTATTTTACTACATAATTGTATACCTTTTTATTTAATTTCGATATTTTATCTCCCAAATTCTTAAAGTGGACAATTATCCTCCGCCTTCGGGGAGCAGAACTGAATGCTAACGGACCAGTCCACAGGTTGCGGATAGTGGGAAGCCCAATACTAACGGAGCCTTGTTGATATCTAGACGCCTCAACAAGTTTATTCAGGCTTAGCTGCCAAGTCCTTGCCGTGGTAATAGGCTATACCATAGTTGACCTCAATCCCTCACACACAACACCAAGTCCTTGCCGTCCTTGCTTATTTCAGCAATGGTGATATGACGACAGTCAGGCTGATAGTCCCTGCCGTTTACCTCCCTATGAGGCACCTGATCCGCCCAGTATGGGAGTACACCGCTTAATGGAGGAGATGAGCAGAAATTGTGATATCATCATTGGGAGTGGCGCCCATGCACATCACTTCCTCTGGGAAAGCAATAACACCAATACGAGAGCTGAGTCCATTTTTGAGTTTATACTTAGCTATAATCTTAGAATGTGTAATAGGGGAAATACACCAATGTTCTTTAACAGAGTGAGAGGTGAAGTCATTGACATAACCCTCACTAATATGGAAGACTCTGGGGTTATGAACTGGGAAATATCTGAGAAATGCTCCTTTTCGGATCATATACTGATATTTTTCCAGATTCCTACCTCCAGAGGTAAACAGAAGCCTTATAGTAATCCTCGGAAGACCAAATGGTCATAGAATAACTATTGGGGAGATATTTTTCATAAAAATATTTAATACTTAAATTTTTGTAGTCAGCTCCCTTTAAATTTAATATAACTAATTTTTTCCCAAACGCGGATTTTTTTCGCTTTCGAACTTGATTCAGAATAAGAGGAAAGTGAAAATACATACGAAAAAATCGCAGCGAGTTCTGGGGGGTTACTCTGTATTGCGTTGCGAAAGCAAGTGCGATGCGAAAGCTAAATGCGTTAAGAGTACAATTTGGTACTCTGTAACGTTCACGCAAACGCATTCGCAAACTAAATTGAAAATGGGGCAACACTGTCGCCACAATGTAAACAATAACGAAGAATGACAAAAGGAAACGTCAAAAAATTGTAAATGAAAACATATTTTTGTGTGGTACGAGTGTTTTTTTTAAACAAATATGATGAACGAATTAAAAAAAAAAGAATTTTATGAGATCTATCAAATATACTCTCCCTAAGTGACCACGGGTATGAAAATATAAGTACGAATTATGTGACAAATGTTTTCAAATATTTAATTTTTATAGATTTATATATAATGTCTCAATAAAGATTCGTTTATGTATTTTTTAAACGCTCGTCGTTTCAAATAGATCCACAACAATTCCAACTCCAATAAAAGAGGCCGCTGCTTTGAAATTGCTTGGACAAGGTGGTTATCAACACCAACCTATAAATATGCACACATAGTTTCACATTTTATATAAAAAATAATATATTACTTTTTCCAACCACCGACATCTTTTACAGGAGGTCAATTTGAATTGAGGTCATCAGACAGTTTTGTCCACAAATTGTTGGCGCGTTGTTTCGCATTTGAACTCTGCAACTGTCCCTTTGCCAAATCACTGTGTTGCCCCATAAAATCTACTGAAGTTAGGAACTGACGTTGCTGAGTCTGTAACTGTGACTTTTTTGCCTTTTACTTAAAATAATTTTCAATTTATATATGAATAAAACCTTTAATGGAGCTTACTTATATGTTTCGCTTCCTTTGCGTTTGCTATTTTGTTAACGCAAGATATTTGCGCTTAACGAACGAGTTTGACATGCGTTTTCGTATTACAGAGTGCGGTGATGCCACATTTGCGTAAAGTAGATGCGAAAGGAGATACGAAAACGAATTAGAGAGTACCAATTACGCGATGCGTTACAATTTTTCTCACGCATCGCAATACAGAGTAGCCCCCCTGGTTCAGAATAACAAATTCACGGTGAATTGATAACCAGAATAAAGTTGAATTTTTTTAAAAATATAAATAAGCCTGTTCAATAAAAAACACAATCACACAAGTTTGGGTTTCAAAAATTTATTTCAATAATCGGGTTTGTCATTCTTCATCGTCTTTGTATATATATTTGCTTTAAAGATGTTATCTTGATTTTATTTGTTTGGGTTTTAGAAAATCTTCCTTTTTTGTATTCATTATTATTACCTTTATATTTTGTTGTTTTATTTTTTGTTTCTTTTTTGTAACTACTTATCGTTAGAAATAGATGGTGAGTGTGGGTTTTATATTTTGTTTTTAATATTAATTTTACACAATGCAACGAACGATTACATATGAGTATATGAGTATTATTATTTATTTTCAATCATCATCATCGTCTTGTAAGTGTATTGATTTGAGTTTTTTGTTTTTTCTTCCACAATATTTTTTTTTTAATTATCGTTATGACTTTAAACCTAAAACGTTGAAGAGTATTTGTTTTTTATGATTTTACTTTTGTGTTCAATTATGTATTAATTTTCTTTTATCTTGCTGCTGCTGTAGTTTTATATATATATATATTATATAATATATATGTGGGTTTGTCTTTTATATAAAAATTTAATTTAATTGTATATTAAATATGTATGTGGTTGTGGATTTTTAGGTGTGTTTTATTTTTATTCAAGTTTTGTTGTTGTTTTTGTTATTCTGCTTTAATGATAGTATCTACAAAAAACATTATAAGTGGTGGTGTTTTCAGTTGGTTATTATGTTATTTAAATAATTTTATTTTTGGTTCGATACGGATTTTCGCAATGGGAACAACATGCGGTATGATGAATTTGTTCTTTCTTTCGTTTTTGTTTTTGGTTTTTTTGGTTTGTTGTAGAATTTAGGCATTATATTAATTGCTTTTTAAAGTTATGTCTTGTTTTAATATCCAGTCATCATGGTACTGTGTTGCACAGTGTTGAAAACAAATTCCCTTAGAAATGATTGCATGTAGATCTAAAGAGTTTAGTTGCAGTTAAAACAACATTTTTCTTCTAAGCAATTTTGGAAAATATATAAAAGTATGTAGACCAGATAAAAATCCAGCCACAGATATTACACAGATATTCTATTTTTCATACTTACTTAGAACCTGAAACGATCAATTATAGCCAATTTTGTTGGAAAATTCCAAAAACCATTCAACAACTTCTTGACAAAGATGATTGGGAACCATTTGAGTTTAGGGGCTTATCTCGGATTTTTCTGAAATTTTTACCACACAAATACATGAGCGATGAAGGTAATATTGGTATGATTGTAAAGGATATACCTTATATTTTCACTTAAATTCGTTTCAATTAAAAAATATCCAAAATAGCCGTTCTTCGACCGCGAATTTAAATTTTTCTCCCATGGACAGCGAACAATTCGGCTAATGCATAAAAAATGGAAACTATTTTTTTCCTAAATAGCAGGCCTTGGGCCGGGGATTTAAAACATTTTTCTATGGACAGATGGAAAATAGAGATGAGCTCTTGAACTCATCTTAAGGCGATCATTATAATCAAGAAGATCATGTGATATTGTGCATCTGCTTTGATAAATAAAATTGTATAAAACGTCTGTCCATTAATAAAATTGTATGTATAAATTCGGAAGCCAAAGAAAAACGATCTACGAAATTTTTGGGACTGAAAAGCCTTTTACATTAAAAAATTGTTATGAAATTTTAGGTCTCAGAGGTCAATGTAAGATTGATTTTTTTTTATAAAAGTATAGGCATAAAGCCTCAGAGGTTTATGATGATTTTTTATTACATGGTTAAGGCATATTAACATTTTAATAACATTGTATAGTTCTATGAAATATTTCTGGAGACTTTTATAGGCCGCAGAGGATATAGAAATAATGTATAAGAAAA